AAAGTTTTCAACGGTAAACCTTGTAACTTGTGTAGCCGTATGTAATATATGGTAACCAGGCCAATCCACTCTTCTAGAAGTGTCAGCTCCTGGACCCGTATTATTGTACTCTGCAAAAAACAATTGGTCAACCGGTACATCTGGCCACCCTAACCATCCTTTAGGCTGAACCACAGTGTCAAGAAATGACTCGATGAACACAACCGTTGAATATTCTTTCCATGGCCGTCCAAGATACAACAATACCTTGTCCTTACTTGATGCTATCTCGGGCGACACGGTCACCTTACAGTTTTGGAAGACGAAGCCGCTTTGATCATCTATATTTGCTTTCGATTGTGCTGTTACCGTAGTCTTAATACCAAATTCTCGAACATATATATTACAATCTTGGAATACTGTGACTCCGTTTCCGAATATGAAGTCAATGCTTCCGTATATATCGCACTCTCTGAAGAATTGGGGTAGTCCCCCAGCATAAAGCGTATCTTGATAACCCAAAAACACACACTTATAGTATGCGGAGTGTTTGGCTTGGTCAAGAACTGCAACAGCTTGGTGCTCCTTCGGCCCAGCTGAGTTTTGAAATGTCAACGACTGAGCCATGAAATTTGCACCTCTTACAGCTATAAAATGAAATATGTTTTAGTATTAACACAAATTTAATCGGCTAGTGGAGAATTTGAAGCTTACTGAGAGTTGCAGAAGTTGCTGTGGTCGATCCAGTGCCATTACTTCGATCGTCAACGATGATGGTGGTAGAAGCATCATCCCCAATCAAAGCTATGAATGTCTTAGAAGGTGGAACTTCAATCAGTTCCTTGTATGTTCCAGGTTTCACATGAATGGAAAATCTTTTCGTGCTCAAATTTGGTGCGGCTGCTATAGCATCACTAATTTTGACATAATTTCCCGTGCCATCTAAAGACACTGTGACATCAAAACTATAGCAATAAGAAAAGTTAGTAACTAGCAAATAGACTATAAAGAGCATAGCAAGCTTGAATGATGGCATTTTCGAGATGAAAGTGAGAGACAAGCTCATGATATATATATATATATATATATATATATATATATATATAAAAGAGTAATTTGCAAATCTAGCCCTAGGTTTTGAGATATTCATATATAATAGAAAAGTTAAAATATAATTTTCATTTTTAAATACTTCAATTTTTAAATACTTTAACTTCACTTCATTGGTGCATGAATAGGTATATCAATAGTATAAATGAAATTTAATTGATATACCAATTATATCATTGATATGTCATGTGCAAAGAGACATACTGCAACATATGAGAAGAAATATGTTAGGCCCCATTAGACAATCATTGTTTTATTAGGCCCTCGATACATGTCAGATCCACAGGACGGATCTTCCATGCATGATAATCACTGACTACCTGCATGATAAATGCCTACCTTCAGGACGGATCCACCTTGTAGGATAATCCAACAAACAATCGAGTCACACGTCCCTAATTAGCCTCACTACTAACTCAAAGATATCGAACTAAAATGGAAAGGAAAGTGGAAGATGCTCAGAAATCGTACCGGTTGCTATCAACTTGAAAAGCTACTTTTGTCATTCTTGGATGTTGTGGAGGTCTACTACGTTCTTAAGGGTGTCTAGAAAATTTCAATCTCATCTCTCACTCCAGGACGTTTAGGATTAGCTCCCCAGGCTAAACCAATCTCTGGGTGCACTTAGGTCTAACATCTGATCGCTCATGATCATGGAGTGCAAAGTCTACTGTAATGTACTGACCTAGGTCAACATGTAAACTATTCTAGCTGTAGCACCTTAAACTTAACTTGATTCTCTTGTGCATGTTTTCCTAGGGAGATTATCCTATCTATCACCTAAAGCACCATATAAATAATCTAATCATGCATGCAAGTTTATTAGGGAGATATCCTATTAATAACCTAAAGAACTCAAATATAAGTTTAAATATTCATGCAAACAAACAAACAATCAAACTCAACTAGGAGATAACATCCATCAATCACCCGGAGAACAAATCTCATCATAGGGGCTTTTGGGTAATTTCTTACATCATGCATAACATACTCTTCCATATTGTCCACTCGAATTCCTAGTCATGCATACTAGCTTTTTAGCTTTGCATAAAACATATAACAACATGTTTCTTTAAAATCTCAACTTAGTGGCAAAATGCTAATTTTTCATAACATATGCATCCAAAAACGTCATTCCAAAGTCCTTAACATGCAATTTCTAACAACTTAAGGTAAGGAATGCTCACATACTAGTACGTCCTAGTGATCCCTACAAGTATTACTTGCCTAAGTTTGTGTGGTTACTTACTTTGATGATGCGTGCCTTCTCAAGCTAGCTTTTTCGTGTCTTAGGAGCTCAAAAATTTCTAAAATTTCTAAAATTTCTCTAGTAGGTCCTAATTCAATCCAAATAGGGTTAGTATTGAAATCAGGATAAAAAAAAAAAAAAGTTGAATGGGAGTCGAATGTGTTGAGAAATTCACACTCACACACCCACGGGCGTGCAAAGAGGTTCACCATGGGGGG